AACTAATTAGGTCTCTGCACAGTCCTCAAGTAACTATGTACCAAGTTTCATTTGAAACGTGATCATTACTACTCGAAATATCAAAAGCTGAAAGTTAATTAATTATGCAAATTAGGTAATTAATATGTACTGATATTACCCTAAAAACCATCAGGTCTGTGCAGTGTCATAGGACACCTATGTACCAAGTTTTATTGAAATGTTATGATTAGTACTTGAGATATCAGTAGAAAAGCTGAAAAATGATTAATCATTATGTAAATTAGGTAATTAATAATATTAACAGATTTTTACCCAAAACTAATAAAATCTGTGCATTAGTTCAGAGCATCCATGAGCCAAGTTTCATTGAAATCCAATGAGTGGTTCTTCAAAAATCAGTGGAAAAGTCATAGAACAGCTTAAAATCAGTTAATTATCATGCAAATTAGGTAATTAATATTCATAGATTTTTACCCAAAACTAATCAAATCTGCGCACTAGTTCAGAGCATCCATATGCCAAATTTCATCAAAATCCAATGAGTGGTTCTTCAGATATCAGTGGAACAGTCTTGAAACAGCTAAAAATCAGCTAATTATCATGCAAATTAGGTAATTAATATTCATAGATTTTTACCAAAACCTAATCAACTCTGCGCATTATCCCAGAGCATCTATGTACCAAGTTTCATCAAAATTTGATTAGTGGTTGTTGAGATAACGGTGGAACAAAAAAAGTGACATACATACATACATGCACAAATGCACACGCGCACACGCGCACACGCGCGCACACGCACACGCACACGCACACGCACACACACACACACACACACACACACACATACATACATGATATTGTATTTATTCTCGAGTTATAAAATCTGGTACTATGAAATATTTACATAACTATTGCATATTAATGGTAATACATAAGCAAACAAATAATTAATTGTTAACGAATAAGTGGTTTACAACCAGTACAGGTAAGGACAAACTATAATTGATAGTGTACAATGCAATTAAAATGAAAAATACAAATAACATATATGTACAATGTCTCGAGCGGGATATGTAAATGATATATAAATGATTTCAAATATATATAACTTATAATACATAACGTATATAATAACAGAGTAGTAATCAATCAGTTATTTAATTTCGTTTTCAGTTCATTACTGTTCATTTTTATTTCAAATTTTGTCCACGTCTAGTGTAATGTTTTTTGGATTTCTTCATTGGTGCTTTCTGCTCTCTGTTTTCCCCGACTTTTACATGCCTCGATATAATGTTTGTTAAGCTTCGATGTAATTCGTTGAATTCGTAATTTATTCTTACTGTTAGTTTCCGTACTTTTGCGTAGACATGTTAGCGATCTAATTAGAAGTTTCAAGTCAGGCAAAAAATTCAATTGCGTGTTCAATAATTCGTTTCGAGTTAAAGGAGTCTTCTAGGAATTCCTTAGTGATTCAGTTGATAATAGCCTTTCATTTTCAATTGTATTTTCATCATTTGTAATGTAGGATACGTTTGATATATC